TTTTTTTTCAGAGTTATTTGCGTTCTGCAAAATCGCGTGAAGCCCCTAGGATTAATTCCGTGTGCCATCCTCCACTTGTATTTTTCTTATATTGAAGGGCGTTGCAAGCACCTTAACACTCATAATAAAAACTTAATACGAGTGGAGCCTTATGAAAAATGGCACAGATTGTTAGCTCATAAGTGCAAATAAATATGTAACATTACCCTTCATAGCAGCATAATGAAGTGGTGTCCGTTCAAGATTGTCTGTAACATCAGTGAAGGCTCCATTGTTGATGAGCATTTCGGCGACATCCCTGTGACCTGAAAAATAACACAAATCAATGAACACGACAAACTGATTTCTGATTTAGTGACCATAAATAAACAAAATTACCCTTCTCAGCAGCTAAATGAAGAGGTGTTTGTTTTAAGTGGTCTTCAGAATGAACATTGGCACCTTTCGTGATCAGCTTTTCAGAGACATTCTTGTGACCTGAAAAATAACACCAATCAATGAACGAGTTAAAACCAATTCCTTATTTATCGAAAATGAATATTCAACAACCATTGCTAGCAGCTAAGCAACATTACCATTTGCAGCAGCTAAATGAAGAGGTGTCCGCTTGATTTTGTCTGTCGAATGAATTTTAGCTCCTCTCTTGATGAGCTTTTTAACGTCCTCCAAATTACCTGAAACAGATCAATGAAATAGATTCAGTCAATTTCTGATTTGGTAACCTCAATTCAAAGTTACCATTCTCAGCAGCGTCATGAAGAGCTGTTCGGCCTCTTTCGTCTTTTTTGTTTACTAAAAATTGCAAAAATGTATCAGTGAAGTAAATCGAAAGTGAGATGAACTCTTCCACTATCTTTTCTCAAATTATAGGGAAATGAGTGTCCAGTTATTCAGAGGGCGTCTTCAATTCCACAGAGAAAAGAAAATGGATATCGTATGTCGAAAACGGTTTTCGGAAAACCTATAGAATATGCAAGCTCGCGTTCTTGGTGAGTCAAAAACGACATCGGCCCTCTAGGTAAGGATTGCATTAAACTATCACAGTACACAGGGACTTTCGATGCTTGTGTATGTATGTGTGTGTGAGACTGTGTGCGTAAACGACAATGTTCACTCTCAATGTGTTAATGACAGCTTCAAGTTGAACTCTCCCACGTATTTCGATACGAATAAAGCGATCTTGAAATATGCCTATATTGAGCAGATTTGTTTAAATATAAATCCGTGCATCCACACACAAGGGCTATGCAAACGAGCACATGAACGCTGAGCTATGTGTAAATCTATATTCAAGTTTTTCGTGAAGGACATCGAACAAAATACAACGAATTTTTCATGAGTCGAATTGAGTTTTGGTTATTATGGCCTGGATTAAATGGAAAATGCCTTCATACATCAAGAGATTCTTTGTGTGTGGAATGGTGAGAATGAAACTTTAGAAAGAAATGGAGCATAAATCTTACCTAGCGTTAATGCTCCCTTTACTTTGTGGACACACCCACAGCCATTGCCATCGTTACCGCCACCTTCAATTTGCTTCATGTTGAAAATTAAGATCGAATAAAGGATAATTAGTTTGGAATAACAAATTTGAACGAATTGAAATGAAAATTCAATTGACATTTTAACCCAAAGATACTATTTGCAAAAACAAAATGTCGGATTTATGTTTCCGAAAAGTCAATTTGTATGGAATATGAGCAAATATTCTTTATGTCATCGATCGATCCCATACAATAAAAATATACAGACAAAATGTTAAGTTACCATGAATTGGTCTCCCAAAACCGCAACCAGAACCAGACAAACTAAACGGAGAGAAAACGATGATTAAAACACAATAAGTGACCGAAATCTCAAGTATTGTCAAAAAAAAATCAGAAAGAAAATACAGGAAAAAAGAGCTAAGAAGAGACTCACCCATCAATTGCTTGGACATTTTATAATCGAATCACTTGAACAATAACTAAATTTCTACGATTTTGATGGCTCATTTATAGTCAAAAATTGAATGTTGTAATCTTGTCCTTACTTTGCCACGTACAGCAAAACCAAATTCCTTACGACGGAGTTAGCAAATAAAGTATTCAAAAAATGGGTTTCCATTCTTGCTCGTCGTCATTATTACACGGGTAGCAAATTAAAATTCCTTTCGACTGAGTTCGCAAACAAATTGTCCAAATAAAAATTGTTCTCGCTTTTTGTCTATTTGCTAATTTCTCGATGTTTGGAATGCGCAGATGCAGATGTTAAGACACAATGAAAAATTTTGCATGGAAACAAGCTCCAATGGGCTTTTTTTCAAACATCTATACACCGAAAGGAACTATACCCGTTTGTAATTTGCGCTCAACGCGCTTCATAAACGCTTCATTCCGATCTAAGTATCCATAGTGTACACAGTCCATAGAGCCGAATGAAGCGAATATATACCATATATACGACATACAACAGAGCGGGATAGCGCGAAATGAACGGAGCCTGTAACATAC